TAAACTTAATAAAGTGAATAAACCTAAATAAACTGAATAAACCGAATAAACTGAAAAAACTGAATAATCTGAATAAACTTGAATAAATTGAATAAACTGAATAAATTGAATAAACTGAATAAACTGAATAAACTGGATAAACTGAATAAACTGAATAAACTGAATAAACTGATTAAAATGAATAAACCGAATAAACTGAAGAAAAAAACTGAATAAACTTAATAAACTGAATAAAATTAATGAACTGTATAAACTGAATAAACTGAATAAACCTAAATAAACTGAATAAACTGAATAAACTGAATAAACCGAATAAACTGAAAAAAACTGAATAATCTGAATAAACCTGAATAAATTGAATAAACTGAATAAATTGAATAAACTGAATAAACTGAGTAAACTGATTAAACTGAATAAACTGAATAAACTGAATAAACTGAATAAACTGAATAAACTGATTAAACTGAATAAACTGAATAAACTGAATAAACTGAATAAACTGAATAAACTGAATAAACTGAATAAACTTAATAAACTGAATAAACTTAATAAACTGATTAAACTGAATAAACCGAATAAACTGAAGAAAAAAACTGAATAAGCTGAATAAACTTAATAAACTGAATAAAATTAATGAACTGTATAAACTGGATAAACTGAATAAACCTAAATAAACTGAATAAACTGAATAAACTGAATAAACTGAATAAACTAAATAAACTGGATGAACTGCATAAACTGAATAAACTGAATAAAAGGTATAAACTGAATAAACCTGAATAAACTGAATAAGCAGAATAAACTGAATAAACAGAATAAACTGAATTAATTGAATAAATTGAATAAATTGAATAAACTGAATAAACTGAATAAACAGAATAAACTGAATAAACTGAATAAACTGAATAAACTGAATAAACTGAATAAACTGAATAAACTGAATAAACTGAATAAACTGAATAAACTGAATAAACTGAATAAACTGAATAAACTGAATAAACTGAATAAACTGAATAAACTGAATAAACTGAATAAACTGAATAAACTGAATACACTGAATAAACTGAATAAACTGAATAAACTGAATAAACTGAGTAAACTGAATAAACTGAATAAACTGAATAAACTGAATAAACTGAATAAACTGAATAAACTGAATAAACTGAATAAACTGAATAAACTGAATAAACTGAATAAACTGAATAAACTGAATAAACTGAATAAACGGAATAAACTGAATAAACTAACCCATTTTATCCTCCAACCATTTGACCATCTTATCCATTTCGATCTTTTGTCCATTACACCTTTTGTCTAATTCGACCTTTTGTCCATTTCAACCTTATGTCCATTTCGGCCTTTTGTCCACTTCGACCCTTCGTCTATTTGACCTTTTGCCATTCGACCTTTTGTCCATCTAAGTTCAATTCGACGTTTTGTCAATTTTGTCCTTTTGTCCATTCGACCTTTTGTCCCTTCGGCCTTTTGTCCCACAACCATACACATAATTTACGATCTATTTCCATGTATATAAGATGTTTAAGGTTCTCCAAAACGTCTTTGATTTCAGATCAAATGATGTGATATAGATTAGCCACGACTGGTACAATTATAGAGGAATTCAAGATATAATTCTAAAATACTTCTTATGAGAATTCCAACGGAATTTGTTAAAAAGTTACAAGCAAAGTATTTTAAGAAAATTATAAGCAGAAAGAAATATGAATTTCTAGGCAGTTCAGAGGAAATTATTATGAAGACTATTAGTAGGATTCTAGTGCATTCTAAAGAATATCAAAACAAATTTTAGGGAGTATTCTAAAGGAATTTGGAGAAGAATTCAAAGTGATTAACCCTAAATGACGATATGGCTTCAATCCTGGCACTACCCCTAATGATCACCTACCACTGAAAATCTCTTAAATGTTAATCAATCAATCAATCAATCAATCAAAAATAACTCTGAGGAGGGCTGAGAATCTAATTCGGAGCATGGCCCAAACAAATCATTTGCAGAATTTTAAGCTAGTTTGGTTGTAGGACAAAAGGTCGAAGGGACCAAAGGTCGAAATAGACAAAAGATCAAAATGGAACAAAGGTAGAATTGACCTTAGATCGGCAAAAGTTCGAAAGTTCGAATGGACATAAGATCGAATGGACAAAATGTCGAATTAGACACATTGTCGAATTGGACAAAGGATCGAAATGGATAAATAAAATGGGTAGCTAACTCTCAAATATGTTTCCTTCTTTGAATCATGAGAAGTTCTTTGGAAAATTATGACAACAAATAGTTACTGTGTGTGCCACGGCAAACCTTCTATAGAACATATTCCTTCGTTAAATCATGAGCAGTTCTTTGGGAGTTTTCCATAGTATTTTTTTAAAAGTTCTTTTGAACTCTCAGCGAACATTTTCTAAACAATATTTTGTCAATTTTGACGTTGGTTATTTTTTATAACTTTTGTCCCTGTAATTTAATTTCGACCATTTGTCCATTCGACCTTTTGACTCTCTAAGATCTATTCGACCTTTTGTCCATTCGATCTTATGTATCTTCAAACTTTTGTTCCTTCGACCTTCTATCCACTCTACCTTTTGTTCATTCGATCTTATGTCCATTCGACCTTTTGTCCATCTATGTTCAAATCGACCGTTTTCCCTTCGACCTTTTGTCCCTCTAAGTTCCATTCGACGTTTTTTTTTCCATTCGACATTTCTCGATTACTTATTCAAAGTGACGTATCAGCTTTTGTAAACAATGCATTTGATCGTCGATTTGGCGTAACTGGTTGCTTGCACACGCTTACTAACACCACTAGCAGGTAGGGGAAAAAATCCCCTATCTGATGGTAGTGTTAGCATGCGTGGGCGAGATACCAGTTACGCCAAATCGACGAACAAATGCATTGTTTACAAAAGCTGATACGTCCTTCGACCCTTTATCCTTCAACCTTTTGTGTTAGATTCGCATACACTCAAAGAATAAATCACATATCCAATGGAAAATATTCATTAGAATTTCACATAACTTTCGTGTGATATCATAATTGGGAATTGCACCACAAAATCACATGAACCTTATGTGTCAAATGAAATTTAAGTGATTTATCATATAGAACTCATGTGATCACATGAATGTAATGTGAAATTCAAATAGATACCATTGGTTTTGTTGATGGGAAAATATTATGTGCATTCCCAATAGAAACTACATGAAAACTTTTTTCCGTGTAAGTTCGATAAATCTACTTACACATGTTTCGTTGGTGAGGGCATGAAAAAAAAACTACATTTTCCTAAAATCCTACGCTTATTAAGGCTGTGAACCATTTTCCGAGTTCAATTTAACCCGTGGTTAAAAATGACATTTCGAAAGTTATTTTCTATGTTCGAAAATCGGTTTTCGTTTCGGTTTTCGAGAAGAACTTAGCCAAGGTTGTCAAAATTTAACTTCTTGTGTGTCAGAAGTAACCACGCTCAGATAGCAGGGTTAATCGATAACTTTCCATCTGTCAAAAGTTAAAATAATCCACCAAATGGTTCAGAGCCTAAGTCTTCTACAAAAATGCTTCGACGCCCTGCCGGGCGGCCTTACGTCAGTTGACCGGAACTTTAGCCATGGCCGATAAAAAGATGGATTTCGGCATCTTCTTTAGCTCTTTCGTGGCCTTGGCTATCAGCTGCTCCTCCGCTTTGGCCACGAAATTATTGGAACAGATCCTCCGTTTGAGGTTCGCCCAAACATTTGGGAGGGTTGACGGTGTTCGGCACAAAGTTTATCTTCAGCCGGTCCATCTCCTCCGGTCATCTCTTGGCATAATGGGCCGAGGCCAGGTGCGGCCAAAATACCACATCCTCCTTCGCGTGATACTTCTTGCTGAAGGCGGCAACTTCCGGCAGGTACTTAGTACTGTATATCTCCCCGTTCACCGCAAGCCCCGAAGGAAAGAATAGCGGCTTGGACATTACCTTCTCGCTGTTCGTCAGCCGCAGAAGGACCTTCTTCGGGGTGTGGGAGATATATTTGACGTCATCGCTTACCTCCTTGGTGGAGGACGTAAAGTACCCGCCGGAAGGATGTTTTTCACCAGCAAATTCAGCTCCTTCTGGGTGATTACCTGCTGCTCAGACACGGCCAGCCTCGACTGACGTTTTCGCATAACAATGTCCATCTGGTACAGGTACTTCTTCACCGTTTGACCGGTTGCTCCGACCTCCCAGCCCACGGCGCGGAACGATGAGGCCGCCTTGCCCTCGGTCTTTCTCTTCAGCTTCTACTGCACTTTTCGGTCGGGCAGCACCATCGGGCGGCCGGAACCAGGCTTCCGTTAGATGCTCTTGAGGTAGAGGATGTTGTAAATGCCGGATCGGCTATATCCAGCGGACACGAAGTGCCACACGATGACCAACTTCTTCGCTCCCGGGTTGGTTGCTGCAAATCAACTGATAACGCTGTCAATTTTTTCTGTACACAGCAGGGTTGCTATGATTGGCGATGCATAGGTGGATTCGCCACCAGATGGCAGGGTAATCGCATGAAAAGTCGCTAAAATCAGTCCATTTTTTAATGCATACGTAACATGAAAACAGATCGTAAATCATGCGCATAGATTGTATGCATATGCTTGGGCATATGTCTTTAATGAGGACATTATCAAATCCCTTGTTGATCCAGTAGCTCAAATAATCTGAACTCAAAGACAATATGGAGAATCCAGAATATGTAGAGGTGAAGAAAGTTAATTTTGATTGATGAATTTGGGTTTATTAAATACGACAGTGCATCTACTGTATCGTCCCAGTTTAGATTTAAGTTTTTGGCCATCAACTCAATGTAACGTAAATTTTGTTCCATTTCGAATTTGAACGTATGCTATTTGTAACGATCGATTACATCGCGCCCCACGTTGCTCTCTGTCTCGCTCAACGGAACTCCCGTTCCGTCAACTGAAATCGCAGGCGACTAATCGAACTTTTCAACTTTTCCTCTTTTCCAGACTGATTACATTGTAGACAAGGACACAAGAGACACTCCAAACAAGCGGAAAGCCTCCCCGCCCTAGAATTGATGGCCGAGTCGCCAGTCTAAGAGATAGAGCCGGTGTTCCATTCGAGATCTCCAACCAGCAACAATCCGTAGTGGTGGTGTGCGTGTGAGCACGCGTACTACGTTTGTAGTGGTGGTGTTGAGCAAAACCACCTTCTTCCTGGCTGCTGGCAGACAGCGACAACAGCAACAACAACAAGAAAATAGAGGAATCAACGGCTGAGTTGACGCGAAACCAACTTAGCTAAAAAAAAAACAACAACAACACTTGAAGAAATCTAAATAAGAGCAAGACAGTTTTAGTCTAATTGTAATAACTTAAATCTAAACTACTTAACTATTGTTTAGTCGTCACACACATACCTTAGCACTCACACAGTCACACGTGAATCTATATTATATAATAACTATCGGATCGGAGTAGAAAACATACACACAGCTAGAGCAAGATGTCTTCGCAAACGGCAAGTCAACAACAATCAACCAATGCAACACCACAGCCGCAGTCGGCCGGTTCGGGAAATGCGGGCAACGACCGCATCATCGACAGTGTCCTGTTTCCGCCGAAACACAAACTCACGATCGCCGAGGTGTTCGACCCACATACCGGCAAGCCCCGCCCGGAAGTCCTGAAGCAGCACTTTATCATGGAAGGCCGAATCGAGGAGAATGCTGCCCTGCGGATCATCCAGGAGGGTGCGGGCATCTTGAAGGCGGAGAGCACGATGATCGACATCGAAGCCCCGGTCACGGTATGCGGCGACATCCACGGACAGTTCTACGATCTGATGAAACTGTTCGAAATCGGAGGCTCGCCGGCGTCGACCAAGTATCTCTTTCTCGGCGACTACGTCGACCGTGGCTACTTTAGTATAGAGTGCGTGCTATATCTGTGGGCGTTGAAGCTGTGCTATCCGACCACACTGTTTCTACTGCGAGGCAATCACGAGTGTCGACATCTAACAGAATACTTTACCTTTAAGCAGGAGTGTAAGATTAAGTACTCGGAACGGGTTTACGATGCGTGCATGGATGCGTTTGACTGCTTGCCCCTGGCGGCACTCATGAATCAGCAATTCCTCTGTGTTCACGGTGGTCTCTCGCCGGAGATTCAGGAGCTGGACGACATCCGGAAGTTGGACCGATTCAAAGAGCCACCAGCCTTCGGACCGATGTGCGACCTCCTGTGGTCCGATCCGCTGGAAGACTTTGGCAACGAGAAGAACTCGGACTTTTACTCGCACAATACGGTGCGCGGTTGTTCGTACTTCTACAGCTATAAGGCCTGTTGTGATTTCCTGCAGAACAACAAGCTCCTGTCGATCATCCGGGCGCACGAAGCGCAGGACGCTGGCTACCGTATGTATCGCAAGAGCTCGACGACCGGTTTCCCCTCGCTAATCACAATCTTCTCCGCTCCTAACTATCTGGATGTCTACAACAACAAGGCGGCCGTGTTAAAGTACGAAAACAATGTCATGAACATCCGGCAGTTCAACTGTTCACCGCATCCATACTGGCTTCCAAACTTCATGGATGTCTTCACTTGGTCGCTGCCGTTCGTCGGCGAGAAAGTAACCGAAATGCTGGTTAACGTACTTAACATCTGCTCGGACGATGAGCTGATTTGCGAAGGCGACGACACCCTGGAAGAGGCGAACGCCCGCAAGGAGGTCATCCGGAACAAGATCCGCGCCATTGGCAAGATGGCCCGTGTCTTCTCCGTGTTGAGAGAGGAGTCCGAATCGGTCCTGCAGTTGAAAGGTCTCACGCCGACCGGTGCCCTGCCGCTTGGTGCCCTCTCCGGTGGCAAGCAGTCCCTACATAATGCCCTGCAGGGCTTCTCGCCCAACCACAAGATCACATCATTCGCCGAGGCCAAGGGCCTGGACGCGATCAACGAGCGGATGCCACCGAGACGGGACACGACACCAACGCCCAGCGACGAAAAACCAATATCGGTGGCGACACCAAAATAATCAGCTTAGTCGTAATCGCCATTGCCACCGGCACCGAGCGCTAGCAAAAGTATGCAACCATAGGAGCGGCAAACTCTCACACAGCACTTTTGGCGAACAGCGGCTACAGCAAAAACAGCTACATCCAGTTCAGCGCGATATAGCATTGCTACAAGCCCACATCCACACACACATACACAAACAAATAACACCCACAAACACACACATACACACACACACATATGCATATAAAAGAATATTATAATTGAAGCTACTAAAAAAAGAAGAAGAAGAAAAAAACAAGAAGAAAACAACTATTAAAATAAATTATGAGGAAAAATTTAAAAATAACTTAAGTAAATCCATCAATATCTTATATTTGAAAACTCAGCAAAGCAAAGCAACCATCGCAAAACAACAGCAAACCACGGATACGAAGCAACTTGGCGAAGGCAAAAGCAAGAACCCATACGCTCTCACTTACACAGAGGTAAAAATTCAAACACACACACACAAACACAGTTGGAGGAAAAAGAATCAATGAACTGCAAACCTGTTGAGACACGAAACACATTTTTGTTTTGGAATCGAAGGAGGCTTACGCGCGCGCGTTTGACAGAAATTAAAACAAAGCAAACCAATCTGGCTTCTGACAGACAGTTCCCATGCCCCTCTCGGCTTGATACCCACCCGCCCTCGCATTTTTTGCATTTCCTCGCCACCCCTCGTACACACACACACACATATTCACACACAAACACAACCTACACACGCACCAACGCATTTGAAAACCATAGATTTGAAAATCGATACCGCAAACAAGACAAACAAAAACATAACGATAGATGATCAACAAACAACAAAATGAAAATGTTTTAGAGAGTAATGGTTCAAGTAACAAAACAAACAAAAAATATTAATCGAATTATTGTTGATGTTTTCTAGCTAAACCAAGAAACAAAGCAAAAAAATACAAACAAGCATGAATCAGTGAAGAAAGACAGCAAAACAAAAACGATGAACTTAAGCGTTTGAGTCAAAGAGAGAGAGAGAGAGAGAGAGAGAGGATTTTTCCTTATTTCTGACAGCAATTTAGCCCCCCCTTGGATGTCAACAGTAGGCTATGACAGTGTGTCCGCTGTCTCTCAATTTTCAACCGAAAACAGAAAAAAAAGAAAAACGCTCCGGCAACCTGTTTTTGGCTAAATCAGTAATATTACAGTAACTGTGCTCCTGACGCAGATTCTTGAATCGGAAGTTTGCAATGGATCTTTACGCGATGGCCGAAATTGGAACGTCATCGTGCGTCACTAGCTGCAGTAAACCTATTATAGTCACACTAACAAAAATACTCTGTCCGGTTTCTCAAGTTTCGCAAAAAAAAGGAATACAGTTTTCTATCAATCCATCAACTAGTTTATCGCATGATAAATTAAAAAAAAAGCAAAAACAACCAATGAAACCAAAAACTAAACAACAAACGCTTGAACTATCATTCTCATATGTTATCACTACTAGAGCCGTTACACGTCCCCATCACAGCCTACTATTCCTTGACAGCAGAAGAAATTAAAACGCCGATTGAACACACGTAAACATAACCTCTAACGTTAATCCAAAAACCCAAAACAAACCGAGAATGCAGCTGAAATGACAGTCTATAAGAAGCGACTGAGAAGAATAAGAAGAAAATGAAGAGAAAGGGAAGCATTGTAACTAACCCAAAACACACATACACACTCTTTTTCGACATGTGATTAAAAGTTGAGCATGATTCTCCGTAGATGTGACGATTTGATTTTGTTTAACTTTTAACTTTCGTTTTTTTTTGTTTTGACATAACACGCGAACTTATCCCCATAAATATTCGAAATCGAATGCGACTGTTGTTTGACATTTATCCTATCCCAATTCGTCCCTCCCTTCTGCAAATATTTTATATACACTTGCCCACTTCCTTTTACCTCCCAGTAGAAAAAAAAACACACAAGACGGAGAACGGAGATGGTGGGAAAGTTGAAAAATTGAAAGAAACAAGCTTAACACTAATCAAGTAAGAGTAAAAAATATATTTAACAGAGAAAAAACAAAATCTAGAGAAAATCAGAAAGAGCAAATCGGTAGATAAAGCAGTTTAGGAACAATGCGAGGATAAGTAGCATGCAGACGAAGGAGGAAACAGAAGAAGAAAAAAAACAGAAAAAAAAAACAAGTTAAATCGTAAGTGTATAATTGATTAATGATTAAGTAAATTAATTTAACTGAATAAAACTGAAGCCGAAGGCAGTAGAACAGGAGCGAAACCTAGAGTCGAATGAAAGGCGAGAAGTAAATTTAAATAAACAAACAAACAAAACAAAAACAACAGAAGAAAAATATAACAAGAGAGGAGTAATTATTGTCATATTATTAAATCTATTATGATCTTTGAGAACAACAAGAAGAAGAAGAAAAACAAACAAGAATCTTATATAGAAGCATTGAATTTAAAAAAAAAAAAAACAAACAAAAATTGTGCATCTGCAAAAAAACACTATGAACAAAAAACAGAAGCAAGTAGCAACAAAGAACGTGAAACATTTTCATTATTTTAAAAACAATTCTCTTAATTGAAATAGTAATATAGCTCATTAAGACAAGAAAAAAAAAACATCATTGTGTAAGCAAAACAAAAACAAAAGAAGAAGATTAATTAAAAAAAAAAACTTCCCTTCCCGTGTTAATAAACAACTTTTGCGTGCGCTTTTCTCTCATTGAATCAAAAATCGACGAGTTAATAACCTTAAACAAAAAAAAAACACACACACACACAGAAAAATAAATACTACGTTTTTACTTAAATCCTGGTTAGAATTTCTACGTCTAAGTTTTGTCATTATTTGTAATATTTTTATTCAACTGTTGTTATATTAGTAATTAAACGGAATATTTATGTTTAATGCTAGATCTTTTTTCGAGAATGAAAAACATTGTTATAGAGTAATTTAATAAAAACAATAAAACAGAGCGTTAATAACAACCAGCAGTGACCCCCTTTTAATTTCGTTACAGGAATAAAACCAACTCTGAACTAAACAGAAAAAAAAATCAATTTTTATACCACTTCTCTAAGACATCAACCATTCAATGAAAAAAAAAAAAACAAGAAAATAATAACTAAAGCAACTACAAAAAAAAAACAAAGATTCACAAGAACTCTGTCATCAAACTCTTCTTAAGAATCGTAATAAAAGTTAAAATTTGTTCTTCTATTCTAAAACAAAGCAAGCGTGTCGTTTTTGTTTTATTTCGTTTATCGAATTTCAAATTCCTTCCATCTTTACACCCCTTCACTCACTTTCTTACACACACACACACACACACATTCACTCACTCACCCAAACAACGGCAAACACAAGTCACCGGGCAGGAAAGCCGCGTTTGCTCTTTCTTTCGGTTTCGATTTTCCGTTTCTTGATTTCCTTGGTTTGTCTCTTCTGTTGCTCCTCCACCCGAGGTTAATGGGGGTGCGTGAGTGCGACGACCGCGTCTCTGTGTGCGTGTGAGAATCGAAAGAAATTCCAACCAGGATTTGAAAATTCCCCACTTTGATTTTCCGACCGTTGAAAAGGACCTCTCGGAGCCTGTGCCCAGCGCGCATTTAGTTCCCACGCGAGCACCGCGCACGCACAACCACACACACACAGACACACATACACACACACACATGCACACACAGTTCTTGCGTAGCACTTGTTGCCAGCTTGTTTTTGTTTTGGTACGAGCAGAAGCATTTGAAGGGAAAAGAGTAGTGTGAGAATAGTGTGTCAAAAGAGAACGAAACTTTCGCCGAACAGTTGACAAGTATTACCAGAGAAAAAAAAATTGGATTGAAAAAAGACATTTAACGTTAACTAATTGAAAGATTATCTTGTGCAGTGTGTACTTTTAGGTGTAAAATTTCTTTCAAATATTTTTATTAAGACAAAAAACATGGATTGTATGAGGAAACAACCCAATTCTGCTAATTAAGACAACTCGAAAAATCTTTAAGAGGCAATTTGATTGAAGAAATAACTGCTAATAAAGGTTTAAAAAAGAAAATTACGATAGTTATTATTAATAATTGAAATACACTGATATTAAGGAAGTAAACAAAAAACACACACAAATAAACCTTTCTAAACTTTACACTCTAGTTAATGAATTATAAAAGCAAAGCAAAAACAAAATAAAGGGAAAACTTGTTAAACAATGATTCTAATTCATCTCTAGCTGTGTCTTCATCATTTTATCATTGAAAATGACGTTTCAGAAATGGCTTATTTTAAACCCGCCTGAGAACTCTATTTTCCTCTAGTAGAAAAATTCACAAAAACCAGAAAAAAGTTCCGAACCGACATTTATGTGGCGACAGTGACAGCTTTGTGAAAGCAAAACACAACAGCTGAGTCTGTTAAAAAAAATAAGGCAAACAGCAACTTGTTGTAAAACTAAATTGTTAATCCACTAATCCAATTAAAAGCGCCAGTGTAAACAAAAAAAAACAAACACACTTACACTAACAATAACCAATCGCTAGAATAATCATGGCTTACTGTACGAGAGAAAATCTTATTTACGTTTCCAATCAAAATGCGCTTTCGTTCAAGGTGTGCAAAAACAAAACAAAAATAGTACTTTTACCAATTGAAACTAAAAGCAAATACTAACGTATAAATTTTTCCCTTTGTAAGAATCACTCGATAACAACAAATAAACAAACAAAGCAAGCGAGCACGTGTTATGACAAATCTTTAGCCAAGATACAAGACAAGTACCGTTATGTATAGAGATAACAAGCAAAGACTAATCGCAAGCTATCAATGTTTCTGTAACAGAGTTACACACGCCACGAATTGGACACTTTGTAATGAACTTTTTGAAAATAAATAATGCCAGTTCGGTTGAATTCCCCCTTCCACTTGATATCAGAGCAGCCATTGGACACAAGCAAAACAAACAAAGAACGGATCGCCGCTAGTAAACCAAATCATTGTTATCCAATATATCGAACATTAAAAAGCATTAGTAAACAAACGAGATAAGGAAACTGCACCACTTTCATCTATAACGAGCAAAATGAGCAAAGCAAAAACAAAATAACAACAGTTCCGGCTGACTACGTACACTTATAACCAGTAGTTTGTTTCTTCCAGGCAGCATAAGCAAACATGGAGAACGGAAAAATATGCACACAACCAACACCCACACATACACACTCAGATCAGCTTAACGACGACCACACACGCGCGATTCGTTGTCACAACCACATGCACCATGGTGGCATTCTAGCAATACCAATTACCACACCACCACACCTATCTACACCAATACCTTCGAGAAAACTATCTAAACTTGCACGCGCACACCTCTATCTACTAACCACCACCACCACCACCAGCACAAGTTCGCATTCTTGCAAAACATTCTAAACACACACGAAAACTTCAAATACAAACCAAAGTAGGCGATTGATAAACACACAAACCGACACAAACGCACCCCCATCGGCAAACGATGTCATGTTGCTCTCTCACTCTCTATTGGTTTTGATCATTTCCATCGCGTAGCGTGCTTTCTTTGTCGTTGTGTCCTTCCCCCCCCCCCCCTGTCCTCTGTCCCTCCCGCCACCCACTGTTTTTTCTCGCATGTTGAATTCTTCTATTCGTCGCCATAATATATATGTATATGTATAGGAGTGTATAGGAATAAAAAAAAAACGTTTTTGAATTTTTGACAAAACTGAATAAGAGAAAGTACGTGAAACCCTATTGTTCTTTTCCCCATTGTTTTTCGGTTGATTTCCAACGAAAAGGTTTGTAAGTAATCCACAAGAAGATACCGATTGGTTTGGTTAATTTTTCCGTTTTTATTTTTTATTCTATTCTTTTGCGAAATAACCTAACAGTTAAACAATCCATAACCGAAACAATTCTTGGCGTTATTGGAAAACCGGAAGATTATCAGTTGAAAGAAAGCTGAACAAAAACTAGAACTAGTTTAATCAAGGAGATAATACACACATACACACACACACAGAGAGATATACGCAAACCAGTCAAAACAAATATGAAGGAAGATTAAGAACACACCCACACACACATACACACACACATTGGAAGGTCGAGAAAAGTCAGAACGGAAAAACAATGGAAATTATTATACATTATATGAATGAATTTTTGATAATCTAATTATATGTATTTTTGAATTGTATTTTATCGTGGAGTAAAAAATAATATGTACCTATGATTAAAAACAGAAAAATAAAAAAAAAATCTACTAAAACATCCGACCGGGCGTTTCTCATGTCTACAACAACTCGACGCCTGCTGTGTTCTGTCAATTCATTCCGATCCATTGCATGCTGCCGGCAACATGAACGCCACTGAAAAGAGGCGATTCAAAAGTGACGTCCGATTTTAAAACGAGGGGAGGGTCCCCAAAATTTGTGACAGTAAGTGTAACAATTATGGGAACATGAGTAACAGAAGAAGCGGCCCTCCACGGTAAAAAGTTATCACATCTAATCCAAATGCTCTTGCACTTGACTCAGTCTGTTATGCGGCACTACGAATCGAAGTTTTTTTTTTTTTTTTTTTTTAGTCTTTATTATAGAGATTTTTAGCCTGGGGCTAGTTCATCTCTTACGAATCGAAGTGAATAATCATTGATTTTCAAGTTATGTGCGTTTTGAAACCAATTGATTTATCGTTGAAAAATATGTACTGTATAAAACCTATAAATCAAAATTATTATCATTTGAATCGGCACCACTGTTTTCATCTATTGAATTTGTTAAGTTTTGCCAAGCAAATGTCAAAAAAGCACATGACAAACATTACTCGCGAAGATGGCAAGTCAACAACAAATGAAGTCAAGTGAGAGAAGCGATAATTATCCATCTCCGCCATGTCCACACGAAATAATTTGCGTTCTAGAGCGTGAGTAATACGAAATTTTTGCTGTTTTCTATAATAGTGTATTATTCAGCTAAGTTCGATTACAAAACATTATCAAACTTATCAAATTTATTGCTCAATGTCACATCTTGATTCTACTAAAAGCCTTGCGATGTTGTTCAATATCACTTGGAAACATGTTGTTCCGGAGAAGTCGATAACATACAAACACCGTCCTTTAGTTGTGCCGAAGAAGAAACTTTAAGGCTGAAATTTATTTCAAAAGACTCAATGAGGTTATGTTTATAAAAGTGTTTTCTACTACTCACAAAACGGTATTCTTTTGTGGTTACCGGTTATCGACTATCTCTCGCTTCTTTCATGCGATGCGGACGATAATTCCTGACCTATCAAAGCACAACATTAGTTACTAATTAACAAATATAGTTCCGTCTTACACTTATAGCACAGACAAACAGACATAACACATTGAATATTTATCACTGTAAAACATCGTTGAAAAACCATTAGCGCCATCTGTTGAGTACACTGTGGTGGGTAGTACGCTGAACAGATGGCGGTAGTGTGTAAAAGTCAAACTCAAGGGAAATGACTATGCGCGCCACAGGTGGCGGTACTACCAACTACGATCCTTTTAAATTGACCGTTAAATGCTTGTTCTATTAACAATTTGCGAGTGTTATGTCTGTTTGTCTGTGCTTATAGCTTTCTTTTGAATTTCTCTACCTAATTTCTCGTTCACAGATTAAAACGTTTTACACATTCAATTTTCGTTTGAGAGTACATACAAGCGTTTTTCAGTTTTCGTCGAATGACACGTCATCTTCTTCCTATCATCGGACCAGTTGTTTAGGTAACCGCGTTCCCAGTTCACCTATTCGCTGCCCGGTCGAGGGGCCTCCACCACACATGTGATCTGGGTTGTAATATGACATTGTCATATGTTGAATAACATATAACCAGGCTTGCAGTATGAACAAGGCTATATATTTATTTAAACCCATTTTCAGCAAAAATTAAACCCAAGGTACATTATTTAAACTTAAAGTGATAGATTATTACTATCAGTATGGTTGACATTTCGAGTTCAAAGTGATTTGCTGTTGATTTCATCGTGCTTCGATATGATCTCTTCCAAGGGATTTGCACATCGAATTGCAATGTTTGGCAAGTAGTGCAAATTCAACAGCAAATCACTTTACATGAACATGATGTTTTTTTACCGTGCCTAATATGTGAAGTTCAGAGACGATGTTTTCTTACACTGAACCAATATGACATATTCCTGTTATGTGGAAATCTTATAAATTTGCGCTATAAGATAATCCATTGAAAATTATATGATTGAAAATGTGCCAGGTAAATTCTATATGAATATCTGATACATTTACAATGCTGATAATTTGGTAACTTTTATATGATCGTCGTATGATAAATGAAAATCGATCAAATTATAATAATTAACTGAAATGGATTTGAAACCCATAAGCATAAGCTACACTTTTCACCACAATATAATATATGTGTCATAAATCAATCGAAGTAAAGTTTGTGTGAAAATCACATGAAATTCACTTCTTCTTTTGACACATATATTTAATCGATTTCTAAAAATAAATCGAAAAATAAACATCAGGCAGTGGGAGCTTTCACAGTTGTGCCTTTTTTTATTGTAGCTGATTTGGGATTCGATCAAGGACTGTTGAGGTGTGATGCTTTCGGTGTCTGCGCTCGATTTCACTGGGCCACGACTGACTTCAAGATTGAGCTCGTTCAAATAGCATGAAGTAAGAACAGCTCTCCCGACATGGAATGCAGTGCAACGTTATGCTCGTTTTGCTAGAGTGAAGACAAATAGCACTGACAAATTTATGTTCCGTTTCGGTGGTGTGGTTTGTTCAAATCTTTCTTAATGCACCTGTGTGCAATAAATCAACGACTAAATTATATAAGTTGATGTAACTGGTTCATGAAGTTCGAGTACTAGGGCTGGAATCTGAATTAGCCGTGTAGAAGACTTACAATTAGAATCATAGCAAAGTAAATATTGCAGTAGAATCATTTTTTTTTTTCAATCTCAATACATTCTTTTCCGGAAACAAACAAAGATTATTCAATACAGTATCATTGTTGTTAGTAGTATTTAGTTCAACTAATCATTTTAATGAGTGTACGATAACATCGTTGAAAATTGTTTCAATAATTTATAAAGAACAATCATGTAAGATGTATTTTATTGGGAGCGATATTCAGCCCAGAAAAACATGCAAAAACAAACGTTTGCTGTTGGATTTCTTAAAAGGCATATCTATATCAAAAATCAAAGGAAGCTATTCCAATGAGATATACATGTTTTCCTATACTGCAAAGTTAAATGACAGTCCAATAGTTTCTTCATGTCTGTTTACACGCGACATATCAACAAACGTCAAAAATCATTAAAAGCAACTCCAATAAAATATACATCATTATCTTATGAGATATACATTTTAGTGAGCAATATTCATCATGAAAACAGGTATATTTTACTGGATTTTCTCATAGTGCAAACTTATATGATTTTCCATTAGTTTCTAGATGTCTGTTCCCACCCATGACATATCAACAGTTTTTCACCATGAAATATATCAGACAATATTCATATACTTATTACCTATCGCTAACCACGTTCGAAGCAAAGTATTATCAAGTACTAAGTATGTGAAATTACGATAGAAATCATTCCATATCGCAGTCATAGTTTTTAAGTGATAATCCAATGGAATCTATCAATCATCACATAGAATGAATAAATCTGCTGACATTGCTATGTTATAAGATGGATCCAATAAACGGTACATGTCGATTTGTTTCAGTGTAGAGACTCGCAGAGAGAATAAAGGCGCAAGCGCAATCACAGCGGCTGCGGCAGCGGAATAGCCCGATCTGAGTAAGCCTACTTGTCGGATTGAAAACTAGTTAGAACCAAATCGACTTCGGTTAGGCATCTTGATGCCATTTGTGACGACTGTCAATCAGAGTAGCGACCTATCACAATCGCGATCGTCAAACAGCTGATGGTAGTAACGCTTGGTACATTCCTATCAATGTTCTTGTCGAAGCACTTTCCTGGTGAATGTCGTCTTCGGTGGTGATCCATCACCGATCTGGTCATTCCCGACAATCACGACAATCACCTGTGCTCGTTTTGAACCAGTTGCTGCTTTGCTTGCTTATATGAGTGTGTTGGTGAGTGCGCCAGACAGCTTTCGTTTAATTTTACCTTAGACAATTGTAACTCACACAATCGCGCCTACCGAGACGATCTTGGAATGCGTAGGCATTGTTTTCATTTTCTTCTGTCATTTCGCGTTTTCTCATCATCGTACTGCAGATGTATTCACTGTTTTCGTTATGCCTTACGTCATCAGCAGTGAGTGTTACGTTTTGCCAGTGAGCAGCGACCATTACTGGTGATTTTTGTTTGCCATGGTTCTCTCTCTCACTGCGTGACAAAACGTTATGTCAAGGCGATAGTCGGTTGATGCGTTGACGAGTGTCGCGTGAGTGTCATGATATTTTGCATCACTGATGTCAATCTTTCCATTTCCGTTCCGCTTCCACCCACATTGCGTTTGGACCTTAAAAGTAAATCTGGTTGCATGGGTCAACTAAGTTATTTTGTCTGCAATCCGGCGACTGTCGTCTGTTTCAGCGTCACGGTAAAATGTATACTTTTTTGACCGTATCGGTAGTTATTATTTGAAAAATTCCATAACATATTCTTCATGGAATTAAGTCGAGGGGGGCGACACATCTAAATCTCAAGTTTAGATGCTCAACAAATCTCACACTAGCGAATCAATCTTCGAAAAATCTTCTTTCATTTGTCGCATCGCTCATCATCTTTTTGCAGGAAATCTTCAGAATCGTCATCAATCTTCTTTCTATCTACTCAGCGTGCGCGCAGCTAGCCACACCAAAACACAATCTTTTTTACATCGTAGATAGAGTCGTCCCCCTCGAATTAAGTCCACTATGGAATTTACCCCATCTTCTGTTTTAGGACGAGGTAAAGGGTGTATTCGATAAAAATGGCACACTCATATTTAATCACCAAAATTAAACCGTTTTTCTTGAAATTTTCAGGGAATGGAAACCTACTAATGAGTTATGATGATTATGATTATTATGCCAGGTTGATCGTGGCACAATTCTGGTTGAGTGAAAAGCAAGTACTTTCAATGATTACCCAATGTTCGAGCCGTGGGCTCTGTATTTGCCGGGATTCGGAGGTTTTTCTTCCCGTTCGTACCGCGAACGGCGCACAGAAACCAGAGGAGCACTTTAGCACCCGAAAAGTACTGCTGCTACTCCACCTTCCCA